ATTTTCATTGATTTTACCCGAAATTAACTCTGTCACTTATGATTGCAAGTTGTTGCGAGTCAGTGACTGCTTTAGTGTTAAAATACGGTGCTGTGTTTTTAGGATAGTGTGTGTATAATATAATTTTACGTAGATATCCACATCTATTTAATATTTTTCTTCCGCAGTTTTTATTGAAAATGCAATATTTGATATCTCAAAAAACCTGATGTGATAGACAAAAACCGATGCCAGATTTGGAATCGGCACCCCAAAATTACCTTAAACCCGTTGGAATACCTTATGCCAGAAAAAGTGTGTTGACCAGTGTTATTAGAGTGTGTTTTTTGTTTGCATTTTGACCACAAGTAGTGTGGATAATGCAGACGTGATTCCTCGTGAAAAGGTTTCAGTTTTGTTGCCAGATAAAAAAAGGGGAAAAACCCCTAATCTCTAATTTTGGTAGTGCAACGGAGGTCCAATGATGATGATTCTCCCATTATAGCGTACGCAGGCATATGGCCAGTTGCCTCCTTGTCGATCTTCTGTTGCCACTGCCATGGTTGTGGTTCCCCGTGTTTAATTTCAGCTGACTAGTGTAATGCAAATAGGAACTTTGCAGTCTCTGTCAGTCTGCCGCTAGACGAAGCCACATCTCGCCTCGCCGAGCTGATCGTGGGTAGCGAGGGTTGAGCGGCGGTCCAAACTTCACCCCCCAAGGATCATCGGTGGTTGAGCGCCTGGTCGCTGACGTTAGCCGTGGCCGCATTCACAACGCAGCGCGCTAACCGCTGCCCCACCGCTCCCTATGTGCGTGTGTGAGCATATACATAGATGGATGTATCTGTGTATATGTATTGCACAGAGCGTGTATCGGGTGCGCGCGGATGTATGGAAAGCGGTGGCGCAGCGGTTAGCGCTTCGCTGCGCTACGAACCCGGCGGAACCCGAGTTCGATTCCCGCTCACGGCCATCAACAAACAGTGACGATTATCTGAACCGGTCCTGGGCCTTCCATAGGTCGACTCGGCCGCAAATGAGTACCTGGTGCGATGCGTAGTAAACATCGCCACTGGGAGACAAAGGCGGCCGGGCGTGGTGCTGGCCACCCCACCCCCTCGTGTGCCGTGCCGGCCTTCACAGGTCCTCGCTAACAGGACTTGCCCCAACAGTCTGTGAAGGCTACACGGGGGATCTTTGTCTAAGCAACACTTGCCCCGACAGTCCGTCAAGGCTACACGGGGGGTCTTTGTCTTTGTCTGAGCAACACTTGCCCCAACAGTCTGCCAAGGCTACACATACACGGGGGATCTTTGTCTTTGTATGAGCAACACTTGCCCCACCAGTCCGCCAAGGCTACACGGGGGATCTTTGTTTTTGTAGAAGCAGCACTTGCCCCAACATTCCGTCAAGGCTACACGGGGGATCTTTGTCTTTGTCTAAGCAACACTTGCCCCAACAGTCCGCTAAGGCTACACGGGGGATCTTTGTTTTTGTAGAAGCAACACTTGCCCCAACAGTCTGTGAAGGCTACACGGGGGATCTTTGTCTTTGTCCTTTCAACACTTGCCCCAACAGTCCGTCAAGGCTACACGGGGGGAGTGAGCGGTGGGGCAGCGGTTGGCGCGCTGCGCTACCAACCCATGCCACCCGAGTTTGATTCCCGCTCACAGCCACCAACACCCTTGATGGAACATCCCCCATAGGTTGACTCTCAGCCCTAAACGAGTACCTTGGTCAACATCAGTACGAGGGAAGACAAAGACGGCCGGGCGGGGCGTATTGTGCGTGTTGTGTGTGTACGTTAAAGATGCTTCAAGGGGCAAAGTGCTGTTAGCGAGTAGTAGCACCACCAGCTGGCTGGCGGGTGGCCTGCACCACGCCAGCTACTCGTTTGAGGCTGAGCCGACCTAGGGCAGGCCCAGGACCGGTTCAGACAACCGCCCCTGGTGAGCGGTGCGCTAACCGCTGCACCACCACTCCCCACTACAGTATGACATTAGTACGTGCTTACACAATAATATATGCAAGTGTAAACATGTTTAGATTTGAAGCGTGTGTAATATGATTGTATCAAATTGTAATATTGACATGCGATGAAAAAAAAATTTCCGCTCACAGCCCCGACCATCAGTTGTGGACTTCTCAACTGGCGCTTCCCTCCACCTAGGTCCACTCAGCCTTAAATGCGCGTACGGTGAACTTCTTTCGCACCGTACAGGGCCAATCGTGCTAATCGGAGGTGCAGTGTTGAGTCTGTGGGCAGTGTTGAGTCTATGGGCAGTGTTGAGTCTATGGGCAGTGTTGAGTCTATGGGCAGTGTTGAGTCTATGGGCAGTGTTGAGTCTATGGTGTAGTGTTGAGTCTATGGGCAGTGTTAGTCAATGGGTAGTGTTGAGTATATGGGCAGTGTTGAGTCTATAAGCAGTGTTGAGTCTATGGTGCAGTGTTGAGTCTATGGGCAGTGTTGAGTCTACGGTGTAGTGTTGAGTCTATGGGCAGTGTTGAGTCTATGGGCAGTGTTGAGTCTATGGGCAGTGTTGAGTCTACGGTGTAGTGTTGAGTCTATGGGCAGTGTTGAGTCTATGGGCAGTGTTGAGTCTATTGGCAGTGTTGAGTCTATGGGCAGTGTTGAGTCTATGGTGCAGTGTTGAGTCTGTGGGTAGTGTTAGTCTATGGGCAGTGTTAAGTCTATGGGTAGTGTTAGTCGATGGGCAGTGTTGAGTCTATGGGTAGTGTTAGTCTATGGGCAGTGTTGAGTCTATGGGCAGTGTTGAGTCTATGGTGCAGTGTTGATTCTATGGGCGGTGTTGAGTCTATAGTGCAGTGTTGAGTATATGGGCAGTGTTGAGTCTATGTGCAGTGTTGAGTCTACGGGCAGTGTTGAGTTATGGGTAGTGTTGAGTATATGGGCAGTGTTGAGTCTATGGGCAGTGTTGAGTCTATGGGCAGTGTTAGTCTATGGGCAGTGTTGAGTCTATGGGCAGTGTTCGTCGATGGGCAGTGTTGAATCTATGAGTGGTGTTGAGTCTGTGGGTAGTGTTAGTCTATGGGCAGTGTTAAGTCTATGGGTAGTGTTAGTCGATGGGCAGTGTTGAGTCTATGGGTAGTGTTAGTCTATGGGCAGTGTTGAGTCTATGGGCAGTGTTGAGTCTATGGTGCAGTGTTGATTCTATGGGCAGTGTTGAGTCTATGGTGCAGTGTTGAGACTATGGGCAGTGTTGAGTCTATGTGCAGTGTTGAGTCTACGGGCAGTGTTGAGTTATGGGTAGTGTTGAGTATATGGGCAGTGTTTAGTCTATGGGCAGTGTTGAGTCTATGGGCAGTGTTAGTCTATGGACAGTGTTAGTCTATGGGCAGTGTTGAGTCTATGTGCAGTGTTGAGTCTACGGGCAGTGTTGAGTTATGGGCAGTGTTGAGTCTATGGGCAGTGTTGAGTCTATGGGCAGTGTTGCGTCTATGGTGCAGTGTTGAGTCTATGGGCAGTGTTGAGTCTCTGGGCAGTATTGAGTCTATGGGCAGTGTTGAGTATATGGGCAGTGTTGAGTCTATGGGCAGTGTTGAGTCTATGGGCAGTGTTAGTCTATGGGCAGTGTTGAGTCTATGTGCAGTGTTGAGTCTACGGGCAGTGTTGAGTTATGGGTAGTGTTGAGTATATGGGCAGTGTTGAGTCTATGGGCAGTGTTGAGTCTATGGGCAGTGTTAGTCTATGTGTAATAAAAGGACTCGAACACTTCTTTCTGTCTTCGTGTCTTTATTCAGGTTCACGTCTTTACCCACACGGCACTCTGTTATAACTCCTGTATTTGTAGCCCCCGGCTATTCACTGCTATTATAGCTTCCTCACCCCTCTGACTCTCTGCTTCATCTACTGTAACCTCCTCCCTGCAGACTTGCTGCTACCCCTATGTGCAGACCCTCTGGCTGTCACTGTATGCAGACCCGCTGCCCACTCTCTCTGTGCAGCCCCGCTGCTGACTGCAGCCTCCTCGCTGCTTCGGGTCGGTCACCGCTGGCCAACGGTGCCGATCCTCGCTCCCCCCGTGTTCGTGGCGATCTCGCCACACCCCGCTTCGCCCTTCGTGGCCTTCCTCTGTTCCTGGTTCCCCGTCACTCCCCTTGCTCTTCCGGTTCCCCTCCTTCTATACTCAACCCCTCTCCCCCCACGTGACCTAACTCCTCCCCCCCTGACGGCACCTCAGAAGGGCCGTTTACAACCGCATTACATATGGACAGTGTTAGTCTATGGGCAGTGTTGAGTCTATGTGCAGTGTTGAGTCTACGGGCAGTGTTGAGTTATGGGTAGTGTTGAGTCTATGGACAGTGTTGAGTCTATGGGCAGTGTTAGTCTATGGGCAGTGTTGAGTCTATGGGCAGTGTTGAGTCTATGGTGCAGTGTTGAGTCTATGGTGCAGAGTTGAGTCTATGGGCAGTGTTGAGTCTATGGTGCAGTGTTGAGTCGATGGTGCAGTGTTGAGTCTCTGGGCAGTGTTGAGTCTATGGTGCAGTGTTGAG